AGTGGGCAAATTAAGCCACGAATTCCACCAGGAGTTAGATTCCCCGTAAAGAGGGTGACGCAAACGTCTCGTCTTCAAATGTCTGCTGTCAGACTCTCTACACAAAAGACGTTTCACAGCAGAGAAAGAGCAGGTGTTGTTGTTACAACAATCATAATCACACCATTGCAATTAAGTCTGCTGTTTCAGTTACGGCTCTGCTCTTTATCACTCAGAATGAGGTGGAAAAGGTCCACCGGCAGGAAGACGTTTTCCTTTCCGTCCTGATATCAGGAGGACGGGGATGTCAATGAGACAATATCGAAGCCTGTTGTAAAGTACAAATGATGAAGTTGATGGCGGCCTGATTGCATGCTAACTCCAGCTGGCTGCTCAGCGAGACTCATAAAATATGAGGTTTTTAGAAGAATCACTTTTAAGAAACAGTCCCAATAGTCTCCCAAGTATCCGAGTTACATCGCCAAGGCTCCCTGCACGTCCTTCATACAGCAGGTTGGGTGTGTGGAGGAAGGATGAGTGAAACTATACAATAATGTCAGAGTGAACAATGGATTGTTATCTGACATTTGTCTCTGTCGGTCGATGATGTGCAGCGATGGTTTTGCTTCCATCATTTCAAGTGTGAATTGGGGAGTTTGGGGTTTTTCGGAGACGCTGCTTGAGCCAAACAAGCATTTGACAAAAAAACAACAGAATTGCTACGATTCTGTTGACTTCATTGTGCTGCTGATGCACCCGCTGGGACTAATGAAGCCCAAATCGGAGTGAGGCTGAACAATTTGCCTCCCTGCCCAATGGCTGAGTAACAAAGCACCCTGTAGCTAATCAGCAGGCATTTCCCACCGCGCTAAACTATTTCTTTTTGATGTGCCTTTAGTTTGCAGAGCTTTCTTCTTCTCCTGTAATTGTTTCTCTTTCTCGGGAGATCTCTCCTTGTTTCCATGGAGCCATGCCTTCGTCTCTCCTTTCTCTCCTCCTATTTCCTCTGCGCTCGTCCATCTCTGGTGTTTTTTCCGTCTGACTTGTCAGCACGACGTGGTCGCCCTCATTGCAGTTGCCAGCATCTTCATCCGCCATTTTTTCCCCTCCTCTTCCCTCGGGGCTATGCCTTTCATTTTTCCTCTTCTTCTCTGACATTTTTGTTTACTCCTCTCTTCTCCGTCGGTCCAATTATCATTTCTCACCCTGTCATCATTTCCTATTCCCCCTCACTTTTGCATCATTTTTCATCTGCCAATCCCCTGTGCTCCTCCTCCTCCTCAATCCACCTGTCTGTCTATCGCTCTTTACTCTCTTAATACAATATACTTTCCCCTCACGCTCTCCTATGCGCTTCGCCTTCATCCTTCTCCCCCCCCAGGCCCTGTCATCGCAACATGGTTTTTGCAGGAGCTCTGTCTTCTATCCTCATTGACCTTTCCTGCCAAATCCCCATCCCTCCCCCCCTTGCTGCTCATCCATTATCATTGTCCATCAATATGTATTAATTTTTTCATCAATCAAGATGTCTTTGCCTCTGTTCTCCCCTTTTGCTCTCCTCCGCCCCAAGACCCCATTCTCTCCTCACCTGTCTATCATCGTGTCATATTTTGACATTTTGCCTATTCTCATCTCGCAGCTGTCTTCACCCATCAGGCCGTTTTCCCGTTGTTGTCACGTTGCCGTGTCATTTTTCCCGTCCTCTCTTCCTCCTCCGCCCTATTTTACCCCACTCACAATTACTCATTGCTTTTAGGCGCACGGTGGGAAAATGCAGATGGAAAGGCTTCGAAAAAGTATAGTTAAATACTATGGACAGAGAATTCAGCAAAGTTTGATTTTTCCCAAAAGAAAAGCCGACTTGTAATATTTGGTTCTGTTCAGATTGCATAATTAAACGGCGGATAGGAGCTGTAAACAAAAGTCACATGGGCTCACAGCATGGAGCTTGGTAATTGGGCCGAGTGGGGGGGAACCTGTCACCCCACCAATGTTAAACACTTTGATGTTTGATGAATCGGATGTGATTCAAACAAATCAGATTTAATTCCCTGCACATTTAGTGAAGCCTGATGGACTTTTCCACACTCTCTTTGTGTGACGGCGGTTCTGTATTAGACTAAAGGAACTCAGGCTGTAGAACATGTGATTGCAGCACCCGCTGTTACTTTACTCAGGGGCTTCTGAAGACATGTCTGAACATTTGGTGGCATCTTTAGTTACCAGAGGGAGAAAATCCACATCCGTTGGATTGTGTGGAGCTGAAATGAGGTATTGGGAGTATTATAGATTACCTGTTGGTATTTACCTCCACAGACTCCTTCTTCAGCTCGCAGTGGTTATTGTGCAGTTTGGTCCAGATGTAAGTGGGGTTTATCTGAGAGGAGCATAGAGTCCTGCTCTCTCAGGGGTCTGAATGGTCTTATTTTTCAGTCAGCGTGGTTACATGGATTGGAATAACTGGCTTAGTCGGACTGAAATCGAATGATCCGTTTCGTGTAAACACCTTTGTCCGACTATGTGCGGTCCGACTACGATCCGACTAACACCCCTGGGTAACTCCATCCGATCCAGTTGATAGTTCGACTATTGCAGCATGTAACGGTGAATCGGATGAGGAACTGGACGTTGCGTCTTTGCGCATGCTTGAGATCCCGACGGCGTCTTCTCTCCGTTATCAAATCAGCCAATAGCGCCATTCGCATTCGCTGTGCTCCTGTTAACATCATGCACACATAGTAGAGGGATGTAGCTTCACCTTGCTCTCCGCTCGCCATCTTTCTCCTAATGTTGATGTTGTTGTTGTTGGTTGTTGTTGGTAGTGGTGAAGCGGTCAAGCGGAAATGGCTGCATCACAACTAGTTGTAATGAAAACAGCGCCACCTATCGTATCGGGTATGACATGCTTTCAGGCAATGATTTGATTTATTCACTGCCATGTATATTGGGATAATAGCACCTCCCCCCGAAAGACAGCATAGTCCGACTAAGCAAAGATTCCAATTATACCATCATGTAAACACACTGACTGCTCATTTGAACACACTCAAGTGTGTTCAGAGTGAATCCGCCGTCCGTCTCTTTGACTTTGTATTTCATGTGCAGTCTGTTATGATTTCACGGCACTTCTTAGCAGTCTCGTCTCATTTAATTCTTAGTCGCTCGGGTTTAAAAAGGCTCCAGCACTTCAACAGTGTCCCACTTCTCCCCACTTCCGCCGCTGTTCACCTCTAGACACATTTCATTCATCTAGAAGTCTCTTCATCTCTTCTTGACTCTTCTCAACCAACGCCTGTTTTTTCTCCCCGTTTTATACTAAACCCAACTGCCAACTGGCGTGTGCCATATAAAGAACAGATACAGCAGGGTGCTGAAGGTATCGAGAGTCATTCATTACTTTCTCTCTTAGATCCCACATCTGTTTAGTCAGCCATGGTTGAGATAATTGCCATGTGTTTGGAGAGGAGAGGCTGTGTGGCTCATTTGTAGAATGAGGGGAAGCCAGAGCGATGTGTCAGCAACGGCATTTGTATTTTGATGGATCTTTGTTGGTTGGGTTGTAAATGTGGTGAACAGAGCAGAGGTACCGTGAGAAGAACTTTGTATTGTTTAACCCTTTGATAACAGCGCAGGGTTGGTTATGGTGTCCTTTACATTTTATCAGTCCGGACGAAGCGCCGAGAGCGTCGTCAAAAGGACTTTACCTACTTTTCTCTCACTGTTTACTTTTGCTGTTGATCCGTACATACGTTGGTTTTCAGAAATCAGTGAATTTCTCTTCCAGGCCTTTTATTCGTTGTCTCCTGAGTAAGTCAGAGAGGGACGGCTTCTACGTTTGAATGATTTATCCTTTAGCAAAGATGCTCATGCTGGAAGATATTGTTAGTAATATCGACCAGATTTCATGGTCTTTGTTCTCAATCCGTATTTGGCTTTTTGAGAGCCCAACGATAACAACGTCATAAATGATCTTATAATAAGAGCGAGCTGACGCAGTGGAAGATGATAAATCTTTCAGAGCTTCTTTAAATCCAGCCCTGAGTGAAGCAATATTGTGTGCTAAGGCTCCAATACACAACATTGTATGTTAATTTGCCCTTAAGGTTTGATTGGAAAAGTAGCTCCTCTGCCTCTTGTCCTGTTGGTATCATTCTACCAACAACATCGCACCCCCACCTTCTCCACTTGCTGCCCTGCCTTCTGCATTTTAAAGTTTAAACTGTGTTTTACGAGCTCTGTCTCTGCCTCTCACTGCTATTTACAGCTGCCAACGTGTGAAGCCATGCCTGGTGCTGCTTTCAGGTCTATATGTTTTAGCTTTGTGTGCCGATGCCAAGTCCAATCCACTGAAGAACTCTTGGCGGTTCAAATATGAATGTTAACACAAGACAGATGGACCTGCGATTCTTCCATAGTTTACACGGAGCAACAGAGTAATCATTTAAAAAACACTCAAGCTGCACGCTTGTTATCTGTGGTTTCAGAATCGCCCGTTACCGTAAAATCTGTGCGGAGATGTTGGTCTGTAACTGTGTGTGCATGTGTGCGTTTGCTATTCGCATAAGATACGTTACAGTTTATTTTGTTTGGTTTGGGTGTCCGGCGTGATAACAGATGTGAAGCTGCGAGACAAACAACAGACGATTGTCCATGTGGTAGATAACGCCGGCGTGTGTCCTTGACCAACATGACAGTTTATCTCAATGTTTGTCAGTTGAAACATTTTTCTTCTGAGCTCTGCTCAAAAGCTCTGAACATCCACCACTTAAACATCGTGGGCATTTGGAAAAAAAGAAGAAAATGATCTGTGCAAATGTGAGAATGATGTCATTCTCACATTTGCACAGACACGACAGTCAGTAGCAGAATCAGAATCCGTTTGCACATTCACACTCATTCAACTGTCTAGAAAGTGCATTTCATTTTCATTCCCCGCAGGTCCTCTTCCAAAACCGAACAAGCCCTTCGTCAACGTTCGCTGAAGGTAAATCCTTCTGCGTTGTCTTCCTCTCCTCTTTCAGAGCTCATTCAGAACGGGCGCCTGCTGACGCTGCCCCTGGTGGCCGGGGACCTGCACTCCCTTCTGCCCGACGAAGACGGGAAGCGTCTCTACGTGGCCATGAAAGACAACCTGCTGTCTACCAGCCTGGACGACATAACGCAGAACCCACGCAAGGTTAGAGACGCATACACACACTCTGTGCTGTACGACACAAACACACAGCGTACAAGTTCATCCTTGATGAACGCCTGGAGATAGAAAACATAATAAACACGTAACCACCAAAGCCAACGCAGCGGATTCAGATAACTCCTGTGTCGGGGCTTTGATAGGACTAATTGCTGATGATAGGAGGAAGAGGAAGTCCCACCCTCCGATCGCTTATCTCCCTCTAATTCCCAACTCTTACTACAGAAATACACAACTTTTCTTCCTCAAAGTGAAATTACAATACTTTCCTCTCACCCACTTTGTCTGTCCAAATGTGTTGGTTGGTTGTAGAATGCGAGCGCGTGCTAGAGGTCTAAACAAAACACTTGAGGCTTATTTGTACTCCAAACCACTACTCAGACACCCTGAATAAACCTTTTGTTGATTCATTGTTGTTACTTCCAGATAGATAGAAAACAAAGTCATGAGGTCCAGTCGGATCACAAACTATTTCGGCACATTTCACACATTCCTACCTCCACTGTTGTCCAGGCTATCAGCCGAGCAGCAGAGGGAACTTGTGTAGGCGCTGGAGACTGACTGAGCTTTTAAAGAAGAACAGCCAGAAGTTGGATGGAGTTATGAACAAAGGCAGAGACGGATCACCTGCTCGCCACATGTATTCTTAACCAAGAGACACAACAAAATGCGTGTGGACTGTCCATGAAATATTCAATTTCCCTCAGCGCATTTTTGGTGTGTAATAACGGGCATTTTGTGGCATCGACAACATGAAGCGTAAAACCCCTGAGGCGCAGCCCCGGCTCGGCCCCGCCCGGATCCAGCTGGATCGATTCCTGCAATGCCACGAATTACACGACGTTTCTCACATCGGGGTCTTCACAGGAGCCCCTGTCAAGAACCCGCAGCAAGTAACACAGAGACAGAAAATCTGAGTGGAAAACAGTTTAAATTGAAAAAGCATCAGTGACCAACGAAATTGGTTAACGGGGCTTCAGGGTCACGGCAAGGACAGCGACCACGCTGCACCCTCACAACTCCGCCCCGTCGGATCAAATCAATACCCTCATCTGTCAGACGTGCACGCAGGCGCCTCAGAGACACCGACAGACAGACTGACTGACAGACAGACAGGTAGGCAGACAGGCAGGCAGCAGTCAAGCTGGCCAGCCACCCACTCAGCCGGGCAGTCGGCCAGCAAGAGGAGAGATAGTCATAGTCGACTCATAACTCCAGCTCCATGCTGGCTGTACAGTAATATATTTGTGCATTCAGTATTTATAGTCTGTTTATGCTCTTCCAGCTCATGCGCACCTTTTCCCTTGTGGTGTTAAAACCAGTCACGGTGCCACATTCCCTACATTTTATTTCCCTGCTGCTGACATTCAACGTTTTCTCGCAGGTTCGAGACAAACTTACTCCTACTTTTTCTTCATCATGATTAAAGCCTGACAAATACTTGTATACACACACACACACAGTGTTGCTGTCTCAATAAAAGTGATTTTGGCACAGAGAGATGGACACGTAACCCGGTTCCTCTGCTCCGTCCCGGTTCAGGGCAGAGTGCCAAACGTGACTCGGTTCACACGCGCTTTTCTTTGATCCGGCCAAAAACCCTCAAGGCATTCTTTCTGTGTGAGTCTACAGCTGGCAGCGCACATTACACAAAGGGTCACTGAGGGGTGGAGTGTGTTTGTGGCTCTGTGTTGCACATTTGTATTTTATTCATCCTCGCTACTTCTTTTGTTACCATTTCATTCCTTTCCTTTTCCCAACCGCAGCACAGACATTAGTCGTTCCTCGACTCTTTTTTTCCGTTTGACTATTTCCTTTTTTTCCTGCCATTGATTTCTATATTTCATACTCCTGACAACCAGCACGCTCTTCACAGAGGGGGGGGATTCTCATTTACCGAAGCCTTTACCTGGTGAGAATCCTTTAGTGGTGGTCCATGTTCCTGTCAGTGTGTGGTATTTGGAGATAAGGGGGAACGTGGTCTCTAATCTAATCTGATGGTCTCGGCTCTGCGGAGGGCTCCGCGGGAGCGACCGCCTCGGGGAACAATTACCGGACATCCAGAATAAATTGTTTCCTTAAACCATCAGTTGACATTATTAGTGTCACATTTCCCAGATTTGTCTACTAGGGCCTATATATTGATGCAGAGAACTTGTCTTGTTACACTATTAATGCTGATAACACTTGCGATGTGAACTAAAACGTTAAAGTCCCTGCATTTACTTCATTAAACTTTACAGTGAGGACGATCTCTAATCTAATCGTTTCAATCTCAGTTTTCCCGCTCCGGTCTCTGAGGCAACGACAGACCCAACGAAGTATTAAGTATTAGTCATGTTGCTGGCATTTTACACCAAGCCACACACACACTCTCTCTGCCTCATCATCTGTTATTTCCTTTCCTAGTGGCTTGACATGAAAGCAGTGGAATAATCCCCACAGTGTGTTTTTTTATTATTATGTACTCAATGCGTTCAGGTTTAAATTAATCCGCTGGCTATTTTCTCATTAAAATTATGTATTTTAGGTTGAACAAAGCCAAAGACACACACACACACACACACACACACACACACACACAAAAGCTGAACTAAACAGGCACGGAGTAAATGCGACTGGGTTTTCAACCACCTATTGATTTGATTCAGACAGTTAAAAACGACAAAAGGCAAATTAGCCAATATATTTGCTTCCTAGCCAGATAAATAATAGGCACACAATGTTATTCTTCTTCAGTATGTCAAGTCCAACAAAAATGCGTGTAACCACATTAATTATATTCTAAAAACCAAATGTTTCCGAATGACAGCGTTCGAATGCTTTGCAGATCCTAAGAAAACCAACTGATTGCTTTACCAAACTTATTGAACCAGTTGAGTTATTGCGGAAATGTAACTGCAGCTAAAGCGTGTAGTCACAGTCTAATGGTGGATTAATTAGTCATGTTTCCACCAACACTGCTGCTCTGACAGCCCGACTCATCAATAGGACTCAGCAGTGCTGCCCGGGTTGTTTTAACTTTCTCCTCCCTGGAGCTGCTGCGCAAGAGCTATTAAATCCTCCCGCTTCTCCTCCTGCCTGCTGTCATCTAAACTCTCGCCATCTCGCTTCCTCGTCAAGCACCTGCCAATCCCACAGGCCTTTTATCTGTCATTTAGACCAGCAGTGATTAACTTTAATCTCCCTCCCTCTCTGTTTGCTTTATCTCTCCTGCCCTTGGTAGCTATACTGGCCCGCCAGTCCAGACCGAGTCCAAGAGTGTCTCATGGCTGGGAAGGATCCAGAGGTGAGTCCAGACATCTTCTCACGACACACACACACACACACACACACACACACACACACACACACACACACACACACACACACACACACACACACACGCATTAGATTGCATAAGCCAGACAACATCATACCATTGTAACGTCTGTATGGTTTTAAAGTCAGATCAAATCGGTGCCTCACACCTCAGGTCGTTTTGAGCTAAGCAGCGTTTCTTCGCTGTGAGCTGCGATGTCATATTCTCACACACAACACTCTCGTTGTGCTGACGCCGGCGAGAATATGGAGATGTGGGTGAGCTGGATGCATTCAGACAACAAAACAAAACTCGGGTTATTCCCATGCACAACAGATAGTAACAAGAAACATCCAATTCATATTTTTGAATATTTGTTTTCAACTAATTTCAACACGGCTCCTTTTGCTGTTAGTTTTTTTCGCTATTGTTACAAGGGGATACAAATTCAACCACTTAACGTAAAAGAACCACTACATTTTATATGAAATAAACCAGTATCACAAAGTACTTTAGATGTCTATTATTATTCCTCACACTGTGCTCCCTGTGTGTGTGTGTGTGTGTGTGTGTGTGTGTGTATCTGTTCAGTTGGAGTGTGCTAACTTCCTGCGAGTTCTGCAGCCTTTTAATCAGACTCACCTGTACGTTTGTGGCACTGGAGCCTTCAACCCCCGATGTGCTTTCATAGCTACCCGCGTCTTCCAACAGGTATTTCTGCAAGCACACATATCCACACACAAATAATGCTTAACCAGCAGTTACTATTGTTTCTGTAGTTGTGATATGTCTGTCTATGATTACGTGACCTCGTTGCAGGAGTCACATTCCCCAAGATGATATTCTATTCCTATCGTATTAGTACTGTAAACGTCTACGATCAAGTAGTCACGAAAAATAAGAAGCCAGATTTAGAACTAGAAACTACAACAGTTATTTCAGTGTGTCAGACACATTGAATCTGCAGTTTTTTGTAAATATGTATCTGAATAACAAGATATCACTGCACTCAGATCTGGATCAGGGACAAAACAACTCGTTTGGAACATGTTCAGTTCAATGTTCATATGTAACTGGTATTTTCCCATCAAATCCCAACAGCTGTACCTCCTTAGTAAGCTAACTTACCAATCAACGTCGCGTTTTTTTAATTCATACACACTCGTATGCAAAATAAATGAATAATCAACATGAAGAAGAAGAAAGAAAATCACCACTTTTTAAAGTTATACTGTTACCTGCCACCCACCGTTCTGCATGAGTGCACTCGCTCTCAGCACCAGCAGCTAAAATACACGTGTAGTGTCTTCCCCTATGCCCACATATCTACCAGGGTCCACCCTGTGCCACCTGTCCGACGTACATGGACAATGCACCCTTTGTCACTGTAGATTCTTTGGTTGACATGTTTATGTCATTTATAATATGAGCGTGAATCTTCCACATCATGTCATTCATGCCTCATGATTTAGACACATATGGGTGGGAGAGATGGGGGAGGGTTGTGCATTCCTGCAATTGTTTAGGTGTGTGTGTGTGTGTCAGGGACCAGCTAATACCATGAAAGGGTGTGTGAGATCAGAGAGGGTTTCAGACGTGGTGCTTAGAGGGGCCGGTGGTGCTGGCTGGTTTAAGACTGGACTTCACACATTTTGAAATCCCACCACTTAGCCTGATTACTCTCAATCAGACCCTCGCTGTGTGCGTGTGTGTGTGTGTGTGTGTGTGTGTGTGTGTGTGTGTGTGCAGGCCAGGTCAGCTGGCTGAAAAAGTCTTTCTGCTTATTTGTTAGGTAGGAATCATTTATAAATTACAGAATAAATTAGAGAGAGTTTAAAGAGACTGCCCAAACAACTTGTTTTCTCCTGTCTGTGTTCATCTGTCAAGCTGATTTTCTCTCTCTCTGACCTTTGGCGCTGTTTTCTTTGCCAGTCAGAGCACCAGACTCTCTCCTACAGCCAGACAGAGTGTGGGAAAGGGAAATGTCCCTACGATCCATTCCAGAAAACCGCCTCCGATGTTGTTGGTAAGTCTTTTTCATGAAACTACAACTCAAATGGTCATCATAGCAACAACTACAGTGTCGGTGAGGCTTTAGGTCAGGACAAAGTTGAAGGATAGCATTTGGAATTTTTAATAGTTTCCGGAGACTTCAGAGCAGTTGAAATGGTTTATGGGACGTAGGCAAAGTAAAAATAATCCAGAGCCTTCTAGACAGCTGCTATAATCAAACAAACACAGATATCTGTGAATTAGCAAATATGAGCAATTAGTATCGTATTTGCTCCCTTTTGGCTGATCTGATCTGGGGACTCTGATCCGTGACACGATCAGAACCATTTATGGTCAAATGCACCTTTAGAAATAATGTGAAGAGTTGATGTAGTCACATGGGGCAAAGGTGGCACAAAAATAAAAAGTTGAAAAGCAAAAGTGATGTTTTTGAGTTGGCTTGGGCTGGAGACGCCTCAGCTACATTCTTGAGTCACAGCAAGGAGGTGATCTGAACAAAAACATGTGAGAATATGTTGGACTACACCTGAACTTCGGGTTGATAATCTTGTTGTCTTCTCTAAAAAGCACCTAAAGCTTTTGTTGTGCTGTGCAGATGGAGAGCTGTATGCTGGGATCACCTCGGACTTCATGAGCCGGGACTCCGCCTTCTTCCGTAGTCTTGGCAGCCGCCGCGTCATCCGCAGCGAGCAGTACGACTCCACCTGGCTGCAGGGTACGTGCAAAGAAAAGGTCAAGAGAGTAGCAGAACTAAGAGAACTCCTTACTTTTGAAGACTGATTTCTTAGTGGCTGCGTGCCACAACAGAAGTCTGCTCATGTACATAGTTTTCCTCCTGCAAGATTCCTGAGATGGTCAGAAATCAATATTTAAATTTGACTTATTAAAGTAATAGTAAGTCATTTTTTATTTAGGATTTGTATATGTTGCCTTCTTTGTTATGTTGGTGTTCCACATGGCACACAAGCACCTGCTGACAGCTAACATGCTAACAGTTATGGAATTCTTTATCGAACAGCTGCTTTTTTTTAATGCATATCTGTTCTGTTTCGACATCTATATCTGCAGTGAAGTGTTTTCTTGGATGCCAAGTTATTGAACAATATGACTTCATGCCGTATATACTGATTGTCCTGGACTGAACTAAATGTCTTTTGCTCTAAAACGGCCTCCTGCACGTGTTTTATCAGGCCACACAACGTTGACTCTCTCTGCTGTTGGTAAACTCTGTTGTACCCGTCTCTCTCTCTCCAGATGCCCAGTTTGTGCGGGTAGCGCCGCTGTCTGAAACTGATAACCCGGAAGATGATAAGGTCTATGTGTTTTTCACCGAGCGCGCTCAGGAGGCAGAAGGGGCTGCTGGGAAGGTGCTCTACTCCAGAGTGGCACGCGTGTGCAAGGTATGAAGCGCGTTTGTCAGAGAGAGATATAAAGGCCGGTTTGTGTGTGTTTGTTTCACATCAGAGACTGTCTGTATGTAGCTTATGTAAACATGCGTTTGCCTTAACAGATAAAGTATGTACGTGCTGTTCAGTACGCGTGTCTGCGCCTGTTGAGTTGTGTGTTTACGTGAAACGCGTTGATAAATAAACCAGTGGCCAGTTTCTGCATTCTTTTGAGTGGATTGTGAGTACGAGAGAGAATGAGTGATGACTTACCTAAAGTAAATGACAGTTGTTTGTGTGTTTAGAATGACATCGGAGGCCAGAGAAGTTTGGTCAACAAGTGGAGTACCTTCCAAAAGGCTCGTATGGTGTGTTCAGTCCCAGGACCAGATGGCCTACAGACACACTTTGACCAGCTACGTGAGTGCGCACAATCACATTAATACACAAACTGTAAAATGGCCTCAACTACCTTTTTGAATCCATATTTGGAGCTTTAAATCCATAGTTGAAACTCTGCCACTGAATACTGCAAAAAAGAGGGCTTGAGTTAAGATCCATACTTTATTGTGTGTTTGTGTGGGTGCGATTGTCAAAAAGTTGCAACTTCTTTCTCAAATATTTTAAAACGTCAGTTTGCTGACTTAAGAAATTTAGTCAAATTCCGAACCACAGCTCCAGGGTCTCTACGTGGCTCCACCGTTGCCAAAGTGAGCCCAAAGAGCCCTGTGGCTCACCTTGGGTTTGTCTTCGTGCCTTGGAAATGTTACCAAGGAAACTGGCCTCTACATGCAATTGCTGTGGTTTTGATCATTTTGAAGGATTTGTGCAAATGTCCTTTAGTTCTCAGCCTAGTACTCAAACCCACAATCACTAGCCTACAAGGCCAATGGAAAGGCAGAGAACCATTGTCGAGAAGCTACACAATGATTTAAGATGATCACCGTTGGATAATTTTACCGCCATTTAATACAAGTTGAGGTGAAAGAGTGCAAAAAAATCAGTTAGCAGAGGATGGTTTCGATCCATCGACCTCTGGGTTATGGGCCCAGCACGCTTCCGCTGCGCCACTCTGCTGTAAATCACCCCAGATGGGACTCGAACCGACAATTCCTAATGTATGAGGCCAGTGGAGTCCTTTCTTCATACTGAGTTAGCAGAGGATGGTTTCGATCCATCGACCTCTGGGTTATGGGCCCAGCACGCTTCCGCTGCGCCACTCTGCTATACATCAGTGTCTTGGACTCGAAGATGCGATTCTTGATTAGTTTAATACTAATATTAAATTTGATGAGCAAAGCACCATTGTCGAGAAGCCACACAATGATTTGAGATGACCACTGTTGGATCATTTTACCGCCATTTAATACAAGTTGCAGTGAAAGAGTGGTAAAAAATCAGTTAGCAGAGGATGGTTTCGATCCATCGACCTCTGGGTTATGGGCCCAGCACGCTTCCGCTGCGCCACTCTGCTGTAAATCACCCCAGATGGGACTCGAACCGACAATTCCTAATGTATGAGGCAAGTGGAGTCCTTTCTTCATACTGAGTTAGCAGAGGATGGTTTCGATCCATCGACCTCTGGGTTATGGGCCCAGCACGCTTCCGCTGCGCCACTCTGCTATACATCAGTGCCTTGGACTCAAAGCTGCGATTCTTAATTAGTTTAATACTAATATTAAATTTGATGAGCAAAGCACTATTGTCGAGAAGCCACACAATGATTTGAGATGACCACTGTTGGATCATTTTACCGCCATTTAATACAAGTTGCAATGGAAAGAGTGGTAAAAAAAGCAGTTAGCAGAGGATGGTTTCGATCCATCGACCTCTGGGGTTATGGGGCCCAGCACGCTTTCGCTGGCGCTACTCTGCTTTAAATCACCCCAGATGGGACTCGAAACGGACATTTCCCAATATATTGAGGCCAGTGGAGTCCTTTCTTCATACTGAGTTAGCAGAGGATGTTCGATCCATCGACTTCTGGGTATGGCCCAGCACGCTTACTGCTGCGCCACTCTGCTATACATCAGTGCGTTGGACTCAAAGCTGCGATTCTTAATTAGTTTAATACTCATTTTCAAATTTGATGAGCAAAGCACCTATTGTCGAAGCAGCCACACAATGATTTGAGATGACCACTGTTGGATCCTTATCCTCCATTTAATACAAGTTGCAGTGAAAGAGTGGTAAAAAATCAGTTAGCAGAGGATGGTTTCGATCCATCGACCTCTGGGTTATGGGCCCAGCACGCTTCCGCTGCGCCACTCTGCTTTAAATCACCCCAGATGGGACTCGAACCGACAATTCCTAATATATGAGGCCAGTGGAGTCCTTTCTTCATACTGAGTTAGCAGAGGATGGTTTCAATCCATCGACCTCTGGGTTATGGGCCCAGCACGCTTCCGCTGCGCCACTCTGCTATACATCAGTGCCTTGGACTCAAAGCTGCGATTCTTAATTAGTTTAATACTAATATTAAATTTGATGAGCAAAGCACTATTGTCGAGAAGCCACACAATGATTTGAGATGACCACTGTTGGATCATTTTACCGCCATTTTATACAAGTTGCAGTGAAAGAGTGGTAAAAAATCAGTTAGCAGAGGATGGTTTCGATCCATCGACCTCTGGGTTATGGGCCCAGCACGCTTCCGCTGCGCCACTCTGCTATACATCAGTGCCTTGGACTCAAAGCTGCGATTCTTAATTAGTTTAATACTAATATTAAATTTGATGAGCAAAGCACTATTGTCGAGAAGCCACACAATGATTTGAGATGACCACTGTTGGATCATTTTACCGGCTTTTAATTCGAGTTGCAGTGAAAGAGTGCAAAAAAATCAGTTAGCAGAGGATGGTTTCGATCCATCGACCTCTGGGTTATGGGCCCAGCACGCTTCCGCTGCGCCACTCTGCTATACATCAATGCTTTGGACTCGAAGATGCGATTCTTAAATAGTTTAATACTAATATTAAATTTGATAAACAAAGCACTATTGTCGAGAAGCCACACAATGATTTGAGATGACCACTGTTGGATCATTTTACCGCCATTTTATACAAGTTGCAGTGAAAGAGTGGTAAAAAAGCAGTTAGCAGAGGATGGTTTCGATCCATCCACCTCTGGGTTATGGGCCCAGCACGCTTTCGCTGGGCCACTCTTCTTTAAATCACCCCAAATGGGACTCGAATCGACAATTCCTGATGTATGAGGCCAGTGGAGTCCTTTCGTCATACTGAGTTAGCAGAGGATGGTTTCGATCCATCGACCTCTGGGTTATGGGCCCAGCACGCTTCCGCTGCGCCACTCTGCTGTAAATCACCCCAGATGGGACTCGAACCGACAATTCCTAATGTATGAGGCCAGTGGAGTCCTTCCTGTTTTACGGAGTTAGCAGAGGATGGTTTCGATCCATCGACCTCTGGGTTATGGGCCCAGCACGCTTCCGCTGCGCCACTCTGCTATACATCAGTGCCTTGGACTCAAAGCTGCGATTCTTAATTAGTTTAATACTAATTTTAAATTTGATGAGCAAAGCACTATTGTCGAGAAGCCACACAATGATTTGAGATGACCACTGTTGGATCATTATCCTCCATTTAATACAAGTTGCAGTGAAAGAGTGGTAAAAAATCAGTTAGCAGAGGATGGTTTCGATCCATCGATCTCTGGGTTATGGGCCCAGCACGCTTCCGCTGCGCCACTCTGCTATACATCAGTGCGTTGGACTCAAAGCTGCGATTCTTAATTAGCTCAATACTAATATTAAATTGGACGAGCACAGCACTGTCGAGAAGCCACACAATGATTTGAGATGACCAGTGTTGGATCATTATCCTCCATTTAATACAAGTTGCAGTGAAAGAGTGCAAAAAAAGCAGTTAGCAGAGGATGGTTTCAATCCATCGACCTCTGGGTTATGGGGCCAGCACGCTTCCGCTGCGCCACTCTGCTGTAAATCACCCCAGATGGGACTCGAACCGACAATTGTTAATGTATGAGGCCGTGGAGTCCTTTCTTCATACTGCGTTAGCAGAGGATGGTTTCGATCCATCGACCTCTAGGTTATGGGCCCAGCACGCTTCCGCTGCGCCACTCTGCTATACATCAGTGCCCTTGGACTCAAAGTTGCGATTCTTAAATTAGTTTAATACTTAATATTGAATTGGATGAGCAAGGCACTATTGTCGAGAAGCCACACAATGATTTTGAGATGACCACTGTTGGATCATTATCCACCATTTAATACAAGTTGCAGTGAAAGAGTGCAAAAAAAGCAGTTAGCAGAGGATGGTTTCGATCCATCGACCTCTGGGTTATGGGCCCAGCACGCTTCCGCTGCGCCACTCTGCTATACATCAGTGCCTTGGACTCAAAGCTGCGATTCTTAATTAGTTTAATACTAATATTAAATTTGATAAGCAAAGCACCATTGTCGAGAAGCCACACAATGATTTGAGATGACCACTGTTGGATCATTATCCTCCATTTAATACAAGTTGCAGTGAAAGAGTGCAAAAAAATCAGTTAGCAGAGGATGGTTTCGATCCATCGACCTCTGGGTTATGGGCCCAGCACGCTTCCGCTGCGCCACTCTGCTGTAAATCACCCCAGATGGGACTCGAACCGACAATTGCTAATGTATGAGGCCCGTGGAGTCCTTTCTTCATACTGCGTTTTCAGAGGATGGTTTCGATCCATCGACCTCTGGGATATGGGCCCTTAAAGGCTTCCGCTGCGCCACTCTGCTACACATCAATGCTTTAGACTCGAAGATGCGATTCTTAAATAGTTTAATACTAATGTTAAATTTAATAAACAAAGCACTATTGTCGAGAAGCCACACAATGGTTTGAGATGACCAAAATTGGATCATTTTACCGCCATTTAATACAAGTTGCAGTGAAAGAGTGCAAAAAAAGCAGTTAGCAGAGGATGGTTTCGATCCATCGACCTCTGGGTTATGGGCCCAGCACGCTTCCGCTGCGCCACTCTGCTATACATCAGTGCCTAGGACTCGAAGCTGCGATTCTTAATTAGTTTAATACTAATATTAAATTTGATGAGCAAAGCACTATTGTCGAGAAGCCACACAATGATTTGAGATGACCACTGTTGGATCATTATCCTCCATTTAATACAAGTTGCAGTGAAAGAGTGCAAAAAAATCAGTTAGCAGAGGATGGTTTCGATCCATCGACCTCTGGGTTATGGGCCGAGCACGCTTCCGCTGCGCCACTCTGCTGTAAATCACCCCAGATGGGACTCGAACCGACAATTCCTAATATATGAGGCCAGTGGAGTCCTTTCTTCATACTGAGTTAGCAGAGGATGGTTTCGATCCATCGACCTCTGGGTTATGGGCCCAGCACGCTTCCGCTGCGCCACTCTGCTATACATCAGTGCCGTGGACTCGA